CCTTTTCATCCATGTTCAATTTGTACCTAGCTGCAGCCAATATTCTTTCTTCGACCGAATTAACCGTCATTAGTCTGAGGACACGTACTTCGTTCTTTTGGCCAATTCTATGTGCTCTGTCTTGTGCTTGCAAATCTTGATGCGGATTCCAATCGGAATCGAAAATAATAACTGTATCTGCAGCTTGTAAATTTAATCCAAGACCACCAGCACGTGTCGACAGTAAGAACAAGAAATATTCGGAACCAGGATCGTTGAATTTCTTTAGTAAGTCTCCTCTGTCTTCCGCTTTTGTCGTACCATCTAACCGCAAATACATGAATCCTCTCCAACTTAGATAATCTTCCATGATGGTCATCAACTGTGTCATTTGACAGAATAATAAAACTCGATGATTCGTCGCTTTCAACTTCGGAAGAATACGGTCCAAAAGTTCGAACTTGCCAGAAGCACGGAATAAATCCGGTCCTGTAATAACACCAGATCCTTGAGTTCCAACGTGCTCGCAATATTTCTCTTCGATAGCTTGGAACATGAAGGGGTGATTGCATAACTTTCTCAACTGAACTATGGTGTTCATCAAAGCCTTAGCGCCTCCTTTGCCCTGTTTTCCCTTCTCTGATCCATCAGTTAACAATACACCCTTGCTTTGCATGTGTTTGTAAAGAACCTTTTGCAGTCCAGACATATCGCATTTTATAATGTATTCCACTTTGTCAGGTAACTGCGATTCAACTTCTTTCTTCAGACGTCTTAAGAGGAAAGGACGTAATACCTTATGCAATCGACGAATAATGAGAATCGTTTCTTCCTCGTTTAATTCAACTTTTTCACCGGTAGTTGCGAATGGAGCATTGAACCACTGCTCGAAAGTACTACAAGATTTAAAGATCGAGGGAAGTAAAAAGTTTAGTAACGCCCACAGCTCGGGCAATTTATTTTGCAATGGTGTTCCTGTCAACAGGAGTCGATGAGGAGCCAAATAATGCGTATTTAGAACTTGCGTTAGCTTACAATGATGGTTTTTCATTCTATGGCCCTCATCAATGATCATGTACTTCCACTGTAATTTAGCTAAGACGCCCTTGTCTTTAATAACGTATTCATATGTTGTAAGCAGAACATTAAATTTAGTAGCTCTCATTTGAGACTGAATAGCCCTTCTGCCAGCTGGTGAACCTTTATATGACACTACAACGACACTAGGAGCCCATTTTTCAAATTCTAGAACCCAATTCGATAAAGTTCTAAAAGAAAATAATTTATTAAAAACACAATCCGTGTTTAATTAACTTATATTTTCTTTACTTAAAAGTATTTAATGATAACAGTACATACGACAGGGGTACAATTATAAGGAATGGTCCATTGACTTTTTTTTTCTCCATAAGGTAAGTCACCAATGCTATCGTCTGAATAGTTTTACCGAGACCCATTTCATCCGCAAGTATACCGTTAAGATTATTGTTAAATAATGACACTAACCATTCTAAACCCTGAAATTAATGAAAATTTTACGATATGTTTTGTAAAAATATTATTGAATGGAAAAACTATAAATGGCAAACCTTTATTTGATATTCCTTTAATTTTCCATTAACCATGATAGACGCTTGCTCTGTTACTACTTCGTGTACAGTGTGAGCGATGCTATAGTATGTCTGTTCTTCTGTTTTATATTCATCATCTTCTACCTTGGCTTTGTGTATCGTTTTCTTAACTTTATCTTCTTCGGAATCGCCGGGAGCTTTTTCTTTGCGTTCGTCGTCATTATCATCTTCCTCTTCATCTTCATCCTCTTCACTTTCTGATTCAATCGGCTCCCATCCTGGATGGGATTCTAAGAATGCTGAAAGTTGACTCATTAATGGAGCTTCTTCGCCCGTTAAAGTGCGGCCAGTAGCTGTCTCAATTACTCCAATACGTGTATCTTCATTGCCATTTCCATCTTCACCTCCTTCACCATCTTGCATCTTTTTCTTTTTCTATTTAAACAATTATAAAAAATTGATTACACCAATGAATTGTACTTGAAGGCAATAAAAAAAAATACATACCTTTTTACGCTTTTGCTCTTCTACTTGTTTCCTCTTTTGTTCGATTTTATGTTGCTTTACCATTTCAGTGAGATTACTGATATATTCATCTGTTTGAGACAACAGGAATGCTAATCGTTTATCTTTCTTTTGATCGATCAGTTTTCTATAACCTTCTTCGTCTTCTGCCATAAGACGTCTCATACGTTCCTTCTCTATACGTTCTTGCTCTTTTTTCTGTTCCCTTTCGGCATTTGCGTGATAATTGAGAACTGCTTTATTAAGTCTAGCCAACTTTGCCACATTGTTTCGGTGAAACTCCTTGAAATCTTTACCATGTTGAAGTACAGAACTAAGAAATTCTTGATGTTTTTGTCTGCGTTTACGTTCAGCTTCCAGCTTTTGTTGCTTTTCAAGCTTTTCAGTAGCTCTAGCTTCTCGAAGAGTCTGTCTCTTTGTACGTTTATAGGCTTTTACATTCACTGCAGTTTCTAAAGTAGTATCCTTACGAGTACATGCTAAAATCTCTGATCGCAATTGCCTCTGGAAATTCAATACCCTAAGCATTCGCAGTTCAATTTGTGCCTGGATACGAAGATCTTCTGGCATGTTGGTTGGCAAATTGCTCAATTGTTCCATGCGCAATGATATACGTGCTGCCACTCTATTTTCACGTTCTTGTAGAATTAGTAGCGGATCTAGACCAGCTGGTTTCGCCACACTCGTTACTCTGTTAGTCTTGGCACCTGGTGGAGGAGGTTGTTGCTGTTGCGGCGTCTGACAGCCTGGTCTTGGAGGAACTGGAGTACCAATTACGACGTTTGGTCCAGAAATTTGTGGACCTGTGGTAGTAGTGGGTCCTTGAGACGGATCTATAGGAGGACGTTGTCCCATACCTGGGGGAGGAGGTGCTCCACCTATTTACATTAATCTTACATCAAACACCACTGTGAATCAATCTACTCTACTGTTGTTCTTTCACAACATGGGTACATCAATATTCAAGCAGAACTCAGTATATTTAAGTATAAACAAAACTCATTCGTATCAGCCATCAGTAAATTGCATCGTTAAATAATAAAAATTTTAGAATACAACTTCTAGGATACTTCTAGGATAAAAGATATAATATTTAATGTACCATTTGTATGTATAAAATAAAGTAATACAAAACATAGAGCAGTTATCTAAAGCATAAAAATTATATCATATGTTGGTTAATTTACCTTGAACAGCAAGTGCAAGTTGTTGCGATAACGGCTGATTCCTTGCCAATAATCGATACGCCATTATCTGTACACTGTAAACGATACAATATGTGACATTAATCCCTTTTGGTGATTCTTAATAATCTATTACTTACAAGGACAGTGCAAGAATCTCAAGTATTGTGTATCTGCCCTTATAAAGGGATCTTTTCGTCAACTAAATCGACGATCCGAAGATCTTGCACTCTCCTTGTTAATATAATGTATGTAACATACCGTAATTGTTGTAACTGCTGTGAACTAAAGGTTTGTTTCTCTCCCATGTTGCCTTGACGAGCTCTTATAGCAAGCAACTGGGAATAACGCGGATCTTCCTGAAGTCCTTTCTCCTCCATAGAGTCAATAGCCTTCTGCAAAGCGTTCAAGTTTTCTTGTCCAGCGCCAGGTGGACCAGCAGGGCCACTGGGACCAATCTGACCAGGTCCAGTCTGACTCATCTGATTGACAGGGGCACCAGGCCCGATTGGCGCCGTGCCTCCAGGACCAATTTGTTGATTTTGAGAACCAGGTCCCATTTGGCCAGAAGAGGATTGACCAGATGGTCCGTTTGGTCCCATTTGATTGGTAGCGCCACCATGGCCTAGTTGGTTACTCGCGGCACTGGGTCCCATTTGATTACCAGGACCACCTGGTCCCATTTGATTCGTGGGACCGCCTGGTGGTATTTGTCCTCCTGGACCACCAGGAACCATTTGTCCTCCTGGACCACTAGGTCCCAATTGTCCCGTTGGACCGCTCCCAGGACCCATCTGACTACTTGGACCATTTCCAGGACCCATTTGCCCTCCAGGTACATTTCCTGGCCCCATTGGACCACTAGGTCCACTCCCAGGACCCATTTGTCCACCTGGTGGTCCATTTCCTGGACCCATCTGTCCGCTAGGTCCACTTCCTGGTGTCATCGGATTACCAGGAGGATTACCTGGTCCCATTTGACTACCGCTACCGCTTCCCGGTCCTATTTGCACTCCAGGACCGCTTCCTGGACCCATCTGTCCTCCAGGTCCACCAGTTGACCCCATTTGTCCAGCAGAACTGCTTCCAGGACCCATAGGACCTCCGGGTCCATTACCTGGTGGTATCTGTCCTCCAGGACCACTTCCTGGTCCTATCTGTCCGAGACCATTTGGACCCAACTGTCCTCCAGGTCCGCTTCCTGGACCCATTTGAGTAGCTGGTCCTCCAGGACCCATTTGGCTTCCAGGCCCTCCCATCCCCATTTGCGACGAAGGAGTGCCTATGTTCATCTGTCCTGGACCATTTGGACCCATTGGCGAGGGTCCATTATGTCCCATTTGACCAGGTCCATTTGGACCAATTTGTCCTCCTGGACCTATAGGTCCCATAGGATTAGGTCCTATCGGAGATTGACTACTAGGTACCATTTGATTTGGACCACCAGGGCCCATTTGATTAGGACCTCCTGGACCCATACTATGGCCACCAGGGCCACCTGGTGGCATCTGGCCCGGTCCCCCCGGTCCCAAATGACCACTAGCGCTCATATGACCCGAACCTGGTGGGCCACCCGTGTTCATATGACTTGGCATTGAGGGTCCGCTGCTCATATGTCCTGGTCCAGGTGGACCACTGGCATTCATATGGCTCGATCCTGATGGTCCTGTGTTAGTCATATGTCCTGATCCTGGAGGTCCACTTGTATTAATATGTCCTGATCCCGGTGGACCGTTGCTGCTCATATGTCCTGGTCCAGGTGGACCACTCGCGTTCATATGGCCTGGCCCTGGCGGACCACCCATATGCCCCGGCCCCCCAGGCCCCATTTGCGAATTTGGCGGTCCACCAGAGCCCATCTGTGGGCCTTGCACTGGCCCACTACCTGGACCACCCATTTGGGCAGGACCTTGACTCATATGAGGAGGAGGACCTCCTGGTGGTCCTCCACCTCCTTGTCCCATGTGACTTGGTCCGATAGGACCGCCTGGACCCATCTGATTGGGTCCTCCTGGGCCCATTTGACCGGGTCCACCGGTACTCATTTGCCCTGGTCCATTCGAGCTCATTTGATTTGGTCCAGACTGCATCATGTGAGATGTCCCTTGAGGTCCGTTTGGTCCCATTTGACCTGGTACCATAGGCCCTCCAGGACCTTGCTGAGAATTAGAGTTTTGGCTGCCTGGACCCCCTGGTCCACCTTGATTCTGTGACATTAAATGCTCTTTTTTAAATTTCTTTTCGTTCATACTTGAACTGCAAGACACTTTATTATGTTTTTTGAACGTATTAGAATTTTCATTGAAACTAATAAAGCCAAGTGAGAGCATACCAAAATTATCGTTACAACCTTTAATTTCTTAGACGATCATTTTTCCTCAAATCAACTAGTTAAACTAATACTATCAGAAATAAAAGGACTGATTGCTCTGACTAGAGGGATTCTATGCAACCATCGAGAATGAAAGAGATTGTATTATTGATGGAATTAAAGGCTTTCGTCTCAGTGGCTCACGGGATACGTATAATGGGTGCAGCAGCACTGACTCTTTGTTACGTAGAAGCTTATCACAGTGGCAATTTGCAGCCTTAGAACGTGGCTACTGGAACACTTCTCGTTAGGAAAGTTAGTGATATAGTAATAGATATAAACGGTACGTAGTTTACGATAAATTAAAATTTCCAATGAAAAAGAAAAAAAAAGAAAGAATACTTCGAGTCGCTGTTATATATTACTGCCTCTCTTTTTTTACAATTACATTAAATTACATCATATTATATTATGTTACACGAAAAGCTAAGTTTTCCAATAATTCATAGAGAAATATAATTTCGGAAAAAAATAAAAATAAATAAATAAATATTTAACCCTTTGAGCACTTCAGATGGCCGGATAAATCCATCGACAGTGCTGCCCTAAGGGTAAAGAGAAATTTTTTAAACGCTTCGTTATCAACTTCATAGACATTTTCGGTTAGAATATATTATCTCTCATATTTTTATATTTTCTCTCTATATATATAACTCGCGACGATTACCACGGAATTATCAACAGTGATTAATTATTATCTTACATACGATAAAAAAAAAAAAAAGCTTGTATTTCAATCGTTGTCGATTGAATTTTCCAAAAATGAAAATCGTGTATTCACGGTAAAAGTGATCATTTAAAATGATTCCTTTAACAAACCTTTACACCACACTACCTGATATAATAAGCATTCAAACTAAGCATATCCCTACAAACTGAAATTGGCTATATTGAAAGTAGGAATTTCATGTGAAAAGTTTACACGATCTCAAGTTGCAAACTTCCAACGTATCACTTTTCCAACTTTCATTTTGAAAAGCTGAAAATTCACAGAAAAGAAAAGGTTCCACTCTGCACGGTGTCTTACATAAGAAACCTGTTTGAATGTTTAAGTTCAGTTACCTGTGCCATTTGCGCGTACCTATATCTCTGATGACAGAGATAAGAGGATACCGTGCGTTCAATCATTCAGTCGTTCCATCGAAAGCCTCGGAATCAGCGATCATGTCGAGTGAGCTAGATATCAGGAATTACATTGAGTTTGCCAAGGAGTTAACCTTGAAAGCAGGTGAGGTGAGTCATAGTTACTTCCTTCTGCTGGTGAAATTCTAATAAACTCGCGTTGGCGAAGCGTCCCAACACAAATGTTATTTTTTTTATTTTTCACTTCGCTAAAATTTCATCGTCTCACAACAAATTTATCGTTTACCCGAAATTCTTTTCAACAAATATTCATTTCCATATGTATGCGTTAATTGTAAATTTATTTCCTTTTTATCAATAATATAAAATCGACGCATTTAGTAAATTGTAAATCTGTCAAAGCTCTTAAGGTGTAGTTTCATATATATATATCAATGATTTTCTCTTTACTTATCTTCGAGAACGTTGCACACTTATCAGATAAATTTTATCTTTCACCGTGCTCCTCCTTAGATATTTAAGTGTGGCTTCGAAGGAGAAAAGATCGTGGAAACGAAGGATCACGAATGGGACTTGGTTACGGATTATGACAAAAAGATCGAGAATGTACTGATCAACGGTCTGAAAACAAAGTTTCCCGATCACGAGTAAGTACGCCCGCCGTTCGATGATCAATAGAGCGGAATTGAAATAACGAAGCATGCTCATTTTCTCACAGATTTATCGGTGAGGAAAGCCATGTAAAAGAGACACCAGTATTAACAGACAAACCAACATGGATCATAGATCCTATAGACGGAACTATGAATTACGTAAATTCGCTTCCGTTCACGTGTATCTCTATTGGTTTAGCAGTTTGCAAGGAACTCGCTGCAGGGATCATTTATAATCCGCTCACCGCGGAATTGTACACTGCGATTAAAGGACAAGGCGCTTTTTTGAACGACAAACCGATCAGCACTACAACCGTAACCGGTAATTACAATTCTAGCGAAAAAAGAAAAGAAGAAACGTTTCTAAATCATATATGTCGACTAAACGATAAAAACTGAAAATTCCTTGTCCACTTTTGGGTAGCCGGTAAAGATAATTACGAGTTTAAGATTAGACGCGACAGAGATAGCAATCCGTTAAGATGCAAAAGCTTTTTCACATTCTCGATTATTTCTTACAGAACTGAAAAAAGCTTTGATAGAGATCGAGTTGTTCTCGCTTCGTATTCCCTCGAGAAACCGGGACATCAGAACGGGCAGATTAGATGCCTTGATACACGCGTCACGGGGGTAAGTGTACGACGCATCCGAAGGGGACAGAATAGGGGAACCCCTGGATCAACGCGGAATATTCGCCGCGGCAGCGAAATTCGTCTATTTTCCTCCGTCCAATGAATTGCGAAATTTTCGCCGCCGCGGCGAATATTTCGCACATTTTCACCCGCGGGACACGGTGTGTGTGTTTCACGTTTATCGGATCGTTTCCACGTCGCGAGTTTAACAAGTGAAATAAATTTGGCGCGAAAAAAAGAATCGCCACAACTCCGCAATCTTAACAGAAATTTAACGCTACCGCGGTACGAAATATTTCCGGGGATTTCCCGTAAAACGTTCGCGAAGAATTGGTAATAAAAACGTAAAATTAATCTTTATTCTTTTTTTCACACTTCAGAGTTAGAGTTATCGGATCGGCTGCGTTGAGTCTAGCGTACGTTGCAAAAGGTGCACTAGATAGCTTTCATATGGACTTCCTTCAACCTTGGGACGTTGCGGCGGGAGTGTTAATCGTTCGCGAGGCAGGTGGCTCAGTACTTGACACCAAAGGTACAATTTTAACGATACGAATAAACAAAAGAATGTGTAAAAAAAAACGAAGAAAAATTGTAACACTCTTTTTATCCGATGTGTGAATGTTGGAAGATATTTTGAAAAATTTTCTTTTACAGAGGAACAGTACAATTTTATGAAACCGAACACAATTGCCGCGGGAAACTGTACACTTGCGACGGAGATAAAGGAATTAATTATTAACACTGACTTGAAAACAATGCGTAAGAGATTAACGAGGACATGATCGAGGTTTAAATTCTGGATCGATTTTTGTGTGCTTATAGAGAGAATAAAAGTGTCGTTATAGTTTCGATCATTTCATTCTACACTTAATCTTCCCCCCTTTTTCTTTCTCTACGTAGAAAAAAGAAGAACAGACGAATTTTCCATCTTTTGATTAGGAAGATTAAAAAGCGAAGTGATTAAATTGTAGTTGCAAAATGATTTTTAACCTGACTTTCGTAAGACTTTTTATTGGAATTATTTTTGTAAATCGAGAGTAGTATAACGTAGACGACTCGTTGAAGGTAAATGCTGACGATTGAAAATGAATCGAAGGAATAAAAAATTCAATAATTATCGTTTATTGTTCTTCCGAAAATTACCGAAGCTCAATTTCTACTACCAGCTTTTAGTCGTTTCTGTTGGCAATTTTTTTTTTTGTGAAAATCGTAAAAATATCGAAGCACTAAACGTGAAAGACTAAATTGCCTCGGACAGTGTGTCGGTTATTTTTTTTATTTTTCGAAATCACGTACCGGTGATTATTTTCAAATGAATATTCAATTCGCTATTGTGTGTGGATAGCGTAACATTGTGTTGTGAATTCCAAGCAATCTGTGGCAACTTCTTGGAAAACTGAATAGCTAACAATCAGATCAATCAGAGATATGTTAATAAGATCGATAAAGAAAAAAGAAAAACCGAAACAATTATAAATCAAATTGAAACTCTGCGTGGACTATAGATACGTATCCTGTTTCGAGTGGAACATTACATGCAAGATGGCCGCGGAAATGTAAAAGAGTAATCGAAGGTTAAGACAGGGAAATACAATGATTCATAGATATCTAAAATTGCAGTTGCAAAATTTTACGGTCGAGTGAATGTTGCAGCGAACAAAGAATTTGATAAAAAAAACTCTGTCGAAGGTAATGCAACTTTTGAAGCTAATGAAGTAACGTGTGTTTCGTTAGTCTAATTCGCGGTAACAGAAAGAATTTTGGAGAACCGACACGATTGTCAGAAATAAATATCGAACTTCCGTTAATTTTCTCGATAACATTATTTTATCGTATCTATATATTATTTCGACAATAATGCGAATTTCTTCTCGTATTCGAAGATTACGGTAGCAGGAAGCTGCGAGATAAACGAAGATAATTAATTTAAATAACGATCCTCGCGAAGCTGATTATTAGAAGAGTCTGATGTGAAAGTGATTTACCTTGGCATAGTCTTTTATCGTTATTATGTTCTTCGATACGTTGCTTGTGGCATTGTAGTAAAGTCATCTGGCAAATTGCTAATTGCAATTGATAAGAATCGTGTTCTCTGAGTAACAACCGCATCGCAAAAAGCGAGATTTTTAATAAATGGCAAACTCACGCGGAATTAGTATAATAGAGGGAATTACGGGCGGAGAATAAGAAACGGGGAACGACAAGGTGTAAAATTTACAAAGAATTTGTCGATTTAACAAATTCCTCTGCTTTATCAACGCTTATCAACTTAATTTAAGAATATTATGAAGATTTATTGCAATGACCTACTTTACATCCTAAATGAAACACTGGTGCTGGTATTTTTAAATCTGGGTATTCCGTTTGTTTTACAATTGTAAATTATACGAACAGGCGGAGAGACCAACGAGCCTAATATCAATCTCGTAAATTAGCATTTCAAGGATCTCATTTTCCAGCACTGTACAGTTCGACTATTTGTAATTCGATTGAACTGAAAACGAAACAACGAGATATTTCGTTCGTAGGTACATATACCTTCTTCTTCGTCGTTGTATCCGTGACTGATTTTTAACAAAAATCTCGTCGAATTGTCATCTTAATCGGGTGTTGTCAACTTTCTGTGACAATGATCAGTATAGAGAGAGAATTGAAGAGGAAGAATGAGTGTGTGAGAGTGAGAGAAAGAGAGAGAGAGAGAGAGAGAGAGAATGAGAGTATGTGAGAGTGAGAGAGAATGAGAGTGTGTGAGAGTGAGAGAGAGAACGAGAGTGAGTGAATGAGAGAGAGAGAGAGCGAGTGAGAGTGTGAGAGTGAGAGAGAACGAGAGTGTGAGTGAATGAGAGAGAAAGAATAATTGAAGAGGAAGAATGAGTGTGTGAGAGTGAGAGAAAGAGAGAGAGAGAGAGAGAGAGAGAACGAGAGTATGTGAGAGTGAGAGAGTGTGAGAGTGAGAGAGAGAACGAGAGTGAGTGAATGAGAGAGAGAGAGAGAGAGAGAGAGAGCGAGTGAGAGTGTGAGAGTGAGAGAGAGAGAAAGAATGAGAGTGTGAGTGAGTGAGTAAATGAGAGAAAGAAAGAGAGTGTGAGTGAGTGAGTAAATGAGAGAAAGAGAGTGTGAGTGAGTGAGTAAATGAGAGAAAGAGAGTGTGATAGAGATTTAGAAAGAAAATGAGAGTGTAAAAGTGAGTGTAAGTGAAAGACTGAGAGTGTAAGTGAATGACAGAGAGAGAAAGAGAGAGAGAGAGAGAGGAGAGAGTGTAGGAATGAGTGTGTCAAGTAAAAGAACGAGAGTGTGTGAGAGAATGAGTGAGAGAAACATTTCAAGATTTGATCTTTTACACCGTTCAAAGCACAAATTTCTATGAACATAGTTTTGTTTACCAAATCAAGCCTTACAGTCATATATAAAGCCCCAACATCATAGTATAATGTAAATCTCATTATCTTGAAACACGATTAGAGGAAGTGTCGAGAATGTGGTAAAACATGATTCCAAAAATACGCTTGGGCAACTTGAGGGAGTATGAATCAATAGATCAAATCATCCTTGAATCATTTCTACGATACGAATAAAAAGAACGTGTTGCTGTTGCAGCCAACACAGTATCTCTTGATGTGTTTTCTCGTGGAAGAACTCGTGTTCATTATTTACCAGGAAATTGTGAGAGAGTGAGAGAAATAGAGATGGCACGTTACACGGAAGACGTGTACTATGAGTTTGCGATCAAACTGACTCACGATGCAGCTCAAGTAAGCACGCATAATAGGACGTCGCCAAATTTCACTACTATTTTGTAATAGGATTCGATACGACAGTACATGTTCCATTGATTCATTTTACTTTAATTAATCTTTCCAATTTATATGACATTACATATTCATTATTATCGCTTTGCACCGTTTATTATATCACGAAATGATTCGTTTTAATTATTACGTACAAACGTTAGGTCAAATATTTCTCTTTGATTAATTCTATTTTTATCATACTTTCAACGATAGAAATCTAATGTAACCGAATAGACTTCACGTTGACACTGATAACATTTTAATGATTCGCATGATTTTCTATCAAAGATACTAAAGACAGCTATCAGCGGTAAAAAAAATGTCGACGAAAAGCTTGGCGACTGGGACTTGGTAACAGAATACGATCGAAAAATAGAAAGTATTGTCATTGGTCAATTGAAAGCGAAATTTTCGGATCACAGGTAAATATATTTGTCATTGGTAAGTGGATGTTCAATTTGGGAGAAAAAAAAAAAAAAAAAAATACAAAATTTCATTTGCAAAGAGAAAGAAGTATTAGAGGATTTGGTGGTAGATTTATAGGTGAGGAGTCAACCGGAAGTGAGCTTCCAGAGCTGACAGACGATCCTACGTGGATAATAGACCCGATAGACGGTACCACAAACTTTGTTCACGGTTTTCCCCACACTTGTGTCGTAATCGGTTTAGCGATTAAAAAAGAAATGGTGATCGGTATCGTTTATAATCCTGTTCTCGAGCAGTTGTTCACAGCGAGAAAAGGTCGCGGCGCGTTTTTGAACAATAAACCGATAAGAGTTTCCAATATTCAAGGTAATCTAACCTTCTTTTCTTCCGTTGGAAATATATAAGTTACTGCACGAGGTGTAGTCGTCACGAGATGAATGAATGATATTATCATCTGTCGGTCAATAATACGTAGATAATAATGCTTCTTTACAGATTTATCGAAAGCTTTAGTCTGTCTGGAAAGTGGTTTTATAAAAATCGATCACATGAGAGAAAAGACTATCGAAAGATTACGAACAATTGTTCAAAAAGCTCAAGGGTGAGATATTCAATGTTTCAGTTTTCCAATTAAACTAAATTTATTCCTATTTCGACATTTCGACGTTTGTTTTAAAATACGATTATATTTTGCTGTGTCCTAAATGAATATTATGAAAATTTCATGTTCATAGTATAACAATAAAAGTATAAAATATTCTTTAAAAAGAAAAAGAAGATGCTTGCTAATTGAATGTACTTTTCGAAAAATATACCTATCGAGAAACTTGTTTTTATATGTTAATTCATTTTTCACGGTAGTATTCGTACACTTGGTGTGGCAGCATTATCGTTATGTTATATTGCAATGGGAATTGTCGAGGCCTACTATATCGAAGGTCCAGGAATCTCGACGTGGGATATCGCCGCTGCATCGTTAATTATTACAGAAGCAGGTGGTGTCGTTGTGGATCGTGTAACAGGTGAATAATCATTTATATACGCGTCTCCTTTCAATCTTTCCTATCTGCATGCATGTATTTTAAAGTAGTCGTTACATCGATTGCGATATATGTTACAGGGGAAAAAATTGATATTATGAAACCACGTGCAATTGGGGCGTGCAACGAGAAGATTGCAAAGGAGATGGTCAAGCTTATTCGCGAAGCTGATGAAAAAGTGAAAGAAGGAAATAAATAAATTACCTTTGATTTAATAACAATAAAATTAATTCATATTGATAATATTCATTTTCCGTAACTTGCATAGTATGTAATCGTAATAGTTTTTCGAAACAGCATACCTAACCTTCAAAACATAACGTAAAAAGGTTAACAGTTCGACGATACTTCTTCTAAAGTGATTAAAATGTGAAACTATTCCTTTAATAGAATCGCTCTAATAAGGTTCTACTTTCTTCTTACAAATAATTATCACACTTTTGTAATTTTCTGGTAAAACCAAACGAATGAAAATATTCTTTGGAATAACCCGGTAAATACTTCGCAACTTCTAGATGACAAATCAAGGAAAATCCATCGTGAGCTATGAACGTTCCATTGACGCAAAAAGAAAAAGAACGGTAATTACGAATAATGTTAACATGCAGAACAGAGGTAAAGTCCCTTTAGAATTCAACTCTGTTTTTTATTTTGGAACCGATTCTACGACCACTACCCAGTTTATATTATAATGCAAATAACAAACATGTTTGTTCACACAATACACGCGCAGCCATTTGCGCACGCACCTATTTCGTCCCGCTCTTTTCCTTTTTCCATTCTAGTCGCTATATAGGCCAGCCAGTGCATCATTAACGACAGTGTCGGTTAGACAGAAATATCGAATTAACGTACACGTTCGCGACAAGAAAATTTCACACAATTATTTTATTAATAAATATTAGTGAAAAAAGTGGAAACGTGAAACATGAGCGAATCACACGATATCGAGGAATACTACAACATCGCCGAAGAACTGGTCTTGAAAGCGGGAAAAGTACGAGTTTAAATAATAATATAAAAGCTAAACAAATATACTACACAATATTTTTCTAAATTATTTTGTATATTAATTTAGCTCTTTCGTATAATAAAGAATTTGCCTTTAGATAATAGAAAATGCTATTGATTCATACAAAAACGTACAATGCAAAGGTATTGAATGGGATCTTGTTACTGAATATGATCGCAAGATAGAGGATATTTTACAAACACAATTATCAGAAATATATCCAAAGCACAAGTATGTATGTTGAAATGAAATGGGGAAAAATCAATAAATGCAATTCTTCTTACGTTTAACAATAAATAAACAAATGCATTTCAAGATTTATCGGCGAGGAAACGACTGCAGAAAATAAGTGTTTGCCAAAATTGACCGACGATCCTACATGGATTATAGATCCAATAGATGGCACCACAAATTTCATTCATCAATTCCCACACACGTGCATCTCTGTGGCATTGGTGATACGTAAAAAAATTGAAATTGGAATAGTCTACAATCCTTTAATGAAACAATTTTTCTCTGCGAAAAGACAGAAAGGAGCTTTCTTAAACGGACGTCCCATAAAAACATCGAAGATAGCAAGTAAACTTACTTTAATATAAATAAATGCAATTAAATAAAAATAATATAAGTACGGATAAAAAAACAAAACGAAAACAATTTCACATAATTAATAAGAAGTATGTGTTTTTTTTTTAAATACGTTTGGTCGCACAGAGATATAAACAAATATTTGATGAAAAAATTCATGCAATTCTGTTATATATAGAATAATAAATCCAATTTGCTTTTTGTAACAAATAATTTTTTTTGTTTACACTTATCCTTTGTCACGTATCTTAAAGTTGTATATTTTTATCGTTTTAGATTTATCTGATTCACTAATAGCAATGGAACCATGGATTGCCAAAAATTCAAATTATTTAGTTTCTGTGTACAGTAGAATGCATGCTTTAATTCAAGGAACTCATGGGTAATCTTTCATTTTTATTTCAAGTCACTTTTTTCACTTTTACTGCAATATCAAAGTTAAAAGATTATTTTAAATAATACTTTACATTTAGAATAAGATCATTAGGCACTGCTGCCCTTACATTGTGTTATGTTGCAATGGGTGCAATAGAAGCATATCATGTAGAAAGTATAGAAGTTTGGGATGTTGCTGCAGGAAAATTAATAATAGAGGAAGCAGGAGGAACAGTAATAGACACTGCAGGTATATTCTTTTATATACATCCTATGTATTTGATTTAGTCTCATGAAAATTATGTTTATTATGAATCAACTTGACTATCATTTTATTCAATTCTAGGTGGAGAGTTGGACTTAATAACACCACGCATTATAGCAGCTTGCAATCATTCAATTGCTGAACAACTAATTCAACTCTTTAAAACAATAGTAAAATATTTTAAACAAAAATACTTATAAAACTGACTCTGTATCAATATGAAACAAAAAACAACTTATCATTAAAATAACATGATGTTTGTTAATTTTTGTCTGTATTCTCTTACTTAGTTTCTGTTCTTAAATGCAGAATGGTATCATTATATAGTATATTTGAAATCATTTTTATCACCTCTCAATGTGTGAAATCATATCTTTCTTATACATTAAGTAATATTAATTTATGCATGTCATTTGTTGACATGTATTTACAGAATTATGTAAAATTGCTTCGTTTTTTAATTTTTGTCTGCAAGTGTATTTATATGCCAAGCAAAGACGATATTTATTAAATTTTCCTTCTTACCTGTGGACCCATAGTTGGTTGCATTTGCTGTGGATGCGACGAATAATTCTGTTGTTGTTGTTGAGGTTGTTGAGATGATTGAGACATAGGTGGACCTCCAGGTGGCATTGGTGGACCAGTTTGATATCCTTGTGTCGGACTATGGGGATGATGTTGTGGCGGACCCATAGGACTACCTTGTGGATTAGATGGTGATGGTGCCTGCTGTGGTGGACCCATAGGACTTGGTGCTTGTGGTGGAGGCATAGGAGATGATTGTGGTGAAGGACTTGCCATTCTGATTTTCTTAAAACTTTATATATATAAAATTCACTATCTGAAATACATAAAACATTATATGATAGTAATATTTATTTTAATACTTGATTAAAAAAAAAAGTACTCAAACAATAAGATATCAATTATCAAATATCACATTTTATTAATCTTTGAAGTTACAAACTTTAATTCTTAATCATAAAATTCAAAAT